CCGGCAACCCCCCCCCCCCCCACCCTAATGAAATTTTAACAAGGGGGCTTAGCGTTCTAAGCCTCCCCCTTCTACACTTCTGTCTCCTGCTCTTAAGCACAGTTTATGGATGGACATTCTATCTTAGTTAGACACAGCGACAACTATTAATAAATTTATTAATGAACATTGATCAAATATACTTCATAACAGAGTACACTCAGCAATTAAAATTGATACACATAGAAGATAGCCGACAAGGAACCCCAAAGTAGGCGCATTCTTTTTCGTTGCCAAGTTTAACAGAAGGTGCACTCTAAAAACACCGTGGTTAAAAATTTCCCGGTTGATCTAAAATTAACCCTGTTTGGGATAACTTAATGTTCCTGGTTAATTTGACCACAATCCTGGAGCTGGATACTTTAACCAGGATTTTTGGTTAATTCAAATCAGGCTATCTGGGAATTAACCAGATTTTGTTAGGGAGACTATTAACCAAGAATTTTTGGTGAATAATCCACCTGGTTGAATTAACCCGAAAATTTAAGCAGGAACATTAAGTTACCTCAAACAGTGTTGATTTTAGATCAACCAGGAGATGTAGTGTGTATGGGGCAGTGGCATGGGCCGATTACATGGAGCACTTTTAACCTCGGGGTTAAAATGTTTTTGCGATTACATGGAGCACTTTCAACCCCGGGGTTGAAATACTATACGTTCCCACATTGGCTCCTTAGCCTCCATTTTGTTTTCTTGTAATAAATAGTCACTGCCACGCACGCTCGCATAACGCATGAATAATTTCAGCACTGGGTTGAAACGATCACATGAGAAAATTTTCAACCCAGGGCCGAATTCAACCCGGGATTGAAATTTCAACCCTGATAGCTGAACTCGGCCCTGGGTTGAAAATTTTCTCATGTAATCGCGCGTTTGATTTTGATAGAGTTTTGTATTCGGACAGAGCTGAAGTTTCAACCCGGCCAACAGGGCTGAGTTCAACCCCGGGGTTGAAAATGCTCCATGTTTGATCGCCCCCATATAAGTAAAGCGAGAAAACCTTGAACAGTCTTTTTTGGGTGAAAATTACAGTAAAGGTATATTTTATACCAAAAATTTTAGAACCACTGAGTATTTTAACAAAATCGATGTTTAATCTTGTTTTGTATATTTATATACATTCAATTTTCGTAAACGCTTGTGGTTCACCCCTATTATTGTTTTAATATAATGATAAATATAATACACGTATTGTTTGATGCCCACGTTTTGGCCGTTTTTAGCAGGCTATATTTCGAAATTTGTCAGCCACCTGGCGATTCCTTTTGGATGAAACAGGCTGTAGCCGGGCAACCATTTGGGGTATAAAAAAGCCAATACAAATTCATATACTCTACATATAAACTCGTGTACATGCAATATTCATTTTCCTGCAGTATACTTATAATGTTATTGATGGTATTACAGCATATATATTTTCAATAAAAAAGCTTATTACATGTGAAAACAGTCTTAGGGCTATTGGCCAGTCTTAGGGCTCTTGTAAATATAGATAAGTGGAGGCAATCCATCCTAGGTCCCAGGGCCTCACGGCTGACACTGCGTTGTATCTTGAATTGCATCAATCTCGTACAACCCAGAGTATCGGCGCCGAGCAACTAACCTGCGAACGGGCATACTCTGGGTACGAGATTGGAATCGCTGTCGTGATGATGTCATTCTCGTACCCAGAGCCCTTCTTACGCGCGTTCGACCGAGCCCGACGAGGGGCTCTGGCCAAATCCATAACCGGATACCATAAAAACATGGTATCCGGTTAAACACTGCGCATGCTCAACGTCAAACGCGGATAAACAGGTCAGCACTTGTTTCCAACCACCAAACTGACATGACGTCATTTTCAGAAGATTGAAGAGGTGTTAAATGGCTATGTAACTAACCCTAACTCTAACCCTAACCAAATTAATTAAAAAATCCAAAAAGAAACAACTTTAGAAATTGATCAAATGACGTAATGTCAGTTTGGTAGATGGAAACAAGTGAAAACCGGATAAACACTTCGGTTTTCTTGTTTGTTTCGTTTTGAAAGTTTTTCTCCAGGAAAACCCCACAAAAGCGGTAGGTTTCGCTAATAGTATTTATTTAAATCAATTAGTAGGTAAGACGTGATGTTCTCAATGCATGTTGATAAAAATTTAGTATACATTTCCCTCTTAAACGTTGCCAAAGCAGTAATGGCTACGGATACGAAGACGAGAGATTGTCTCACTATTTTATATTCGCTGTTGTACAGATTTTTAGACTTTTTTGTGTTTTATTAAAAGTCAACAGTCATACATAAGACATACTTCAACATACTATATGCAAATCATTTGAAAATTGTAAAAAATCGGTTTCTAGGAAGAAAATAGTCATCACAATTAACTTCATATTCTAGCTGGCTTTAATATTTTCTCTTCAGATGGCACGTCAGCTTTGAACAAGTAACACAGATTTGTTTGATTAACACCACTGATTTGGAAATACGACGAGCATCTGCCATAAAATATGCTGACTTTTTGCTATGAGAACATCACGTCTCAACCTATTAATTTCAATCAACTAATTGATTTAAATAAATAAAATTAGCGACATCTACCGCTTTTGTGGGCGATTATCAACAACAATCTTCCTAGCTGCTACGTACTGCTGTTCTTTCAACTTTACTAATGTCTTTTCTCCCAATTTTATCCAAAACGAAACCAACGCTTCATGGAGCGCTTGATTTTTATTCATATTTTACACAATAAACCATATATTTAGTTGTGGCCAATCAGAAGCCAGTTTGATATGGATTTGGCCAGAGCCCCTCGTCGGGCTCGGTCGAACGCGCGTAAGAAGGGCTCTGGGTACGAGAATGTGATGATGTAAGATGACACGGAAAACCAAGGCTGCCACTCGTAGGGGGATTCCCCTACAGTAGGGGATTATGACATCTTGTAGGGAGTGGGGAATACCTACGGGGAGAAAGGGTAATCTGTAGGGGAGCGTAGGGGATTCCTCACGGTTTGAATTGAAAAATTGTGTGTCTGTTTATGGTATTATGAATTACAAAATGGAACTAGCACTATTGAACTGCAGGATAATCAGGATTTTTCATGGAAACAACTAGAAATTTAGATTTGAATTGAATGTGGAAGCACTGGAATATGTGATATAATAACTCCACGTCTCCAGTCTCCACGACAATGCTTCCATTTTCAAGGAAATTTCCTTTTCTAAGGAAATTCTAGTGTCGAAAAGGAAAATCTAAGGAAGAGAAAAAATCTAAGGAAATCTAAGGATTTTTTCCCAACAACTTAAATATTCATCCAAGTGCATTAGTGCAGAAGAATGTTTCGCTATTTCGTGAATTTTTGAGTGAATTTTTGAGTAATAGTTTGTGGTTTTGTTTTGTTAAGGTTTGCGCAATTTAATAAATAGAATATATTATCGTTATATTAAAAACCGGAAACATCTGTATCGTAGATGATAATTCAGGATTACAGGGGAAATGCGATATTTGTAGGGGAACGTAGGGGAATGTAGGGGAAAATTACACATTGACTTGTAGGGAAAAGTAGGGGATTTTAGTACTAGCCTTAGGTGAAATAGGCTATTGAGAGTGGCAGCTCTGCGGAAAACTGCAGATAACTGAATTAGTCCACACATTTGTTCCTGTTTGAATAACATTTTCTGCAGTACAAACTAGAACTTAGAACATGATTCGTTTGTATTAGGTTGAATCTAAAATCTTCATTGGATATGAAAGATAGGTTAAACCTAGGACAGTGTAGAGCAGGATAAATCATCACTATATATCCAGTCCGAGCGTGATTGTGTTAATAAATCGCTCATGCATAACAAGTCTCCACTTTCAAAGCCATTTTCGAGAAGCCCATGCTTACGGACGATGACATCGGAGAAAACCCATAAATATGGATTAGTGAGGACGACTCCTGAACAAAATATGAACTATATACCCTACCTTCGAAGACGATGTTTCGTTGCTCGCATTAGAAGCATTAGAAGATACGGTTTTCATGATACTTGGTGAAGAAGTACCTTGACCTGCTAACGGCATGCACAGTAAAACTGCTATCAACATTTGACATATCTCATGTCTACGGACAAAAAGCATCATTGCAAGTTCAC